CGACTGGACAGTCACGACAAGTAGTCTAGCTCACTTGCTGGTGTCGCTGCACGGAAGTCAGTAGCTTGTTACTGTAGGGTCAAACGAATGCATTAAAGCGGTACTCCATTGCTGAGGAGCGATATCATTCGTCTCCAGCATGACCGTAAACGCATTAAGCTTATGGGTTAGCGTGTCGAGGTCATGGTTGCTTATAAACTCGACCTGCTTGCTGTTGGCATCCCAGTTCGACTTAAGTCGACTGATTTGTCTCTTGTACTTCTGGTTATCCCTGTGGTCTTGCCCACGTTGGGCCTGGAGTAGCTGATCGATGCGCTTCTGCTTGATCGCGATCATATTAGCAAAATATGACATACGTCATCAGCACGGTGCTCGTCATGGGCGATTTCCATCTTATTGGTGTAATCGTCGACCGATTCATTAAGTTCGGAGTGGAAATCCTCTGCGGGCTGGTTTAATGCTGTGCAATCAAAGCAATTAAATTCGACATCGTTAACACGTTTACGGAAGTGTTTATTACCTTGTAAAGTCCTTAGTCGAGGCCTTTCGATGCTCTATTCTTTGGATAGTAGTTTGTAATATAATTTTGGGTGATTCATGCGTCTGGATAACATGCCCAGTATTAACTGGTTTCCAACGATTGTCTTCCCAATTGGGTAAAGGTGGCGGAGTATGCTTTACCTGTCTCTGGGTCTATAATACCCTCAAGGACGGGCGACTCATAGCCGGATGTTAGAACAGGCGAGAATTTAGCCTGGAGTTCTGGTGGTAGTACCTCGTAAGGTATAGATACGATGAGCACATCTGGCTCATCTGCTTTTCGGGCGTAATTACCTTTCGACGTTCTGTCCACTTCTGCAGGGCTTCAGTAATGCCCAGAGAAACATGCTCGCGTAAGTGCTGTGTATTCTTTTCTGATCTATACATTCGATCTACATGTTCATCATAAGGGCGGCTAACTGATTCTTAAGATCAGTGTTTTCAGTAATTAACTTACTTATGCGCGTTGGCTCAGTGGTCTCGGTTGAGTTTTCCTCCTCTTCTGGTTCCGGTTTAGGTACCTTCTGAGATTCGCCTTTGCCTCCTATAATTGGGGACTTTTCTTTTTAAGTTTCGTCAGAAGAATTGATTGGGGCGTCTTGAGACGTGTCTCTTGTTTCACTTCTTGGCTTCGTAAATGCAAACTTTGAAGTTGAAGCAATAGTTGGCCCTCGGGCTACTCCTTAATCGGAGTGGCTACATCCTTATCCGAAGCATTGTCCTGTTGACTATTATTGTCGGAGACAAGTGCCTCGGCTACGGTGCGGTTAAACGCATCGGCAGCGGCGGCGGTTGCTGCTCCGGTGACGCTAGCGGCTTCTCTCTCCATCTTCTTACGTTCAGCCTTGCGTTTTTTTTGCAGGTGTATTGTCTTTCTTTGTCATAATCTTATCGTATGACTGCAGTCTTTTTCTCTTAAGGAATGACTGTGCTTAGGAAAAATTTCGTGGTAGTTATCTACCTTTACTTTCAAGTAGTCTAAGTAGTTAATGCCTTTGCTAACTTTAAAATGTGTATAATTCGGTCTATCAAGGCGATATTAACGCCTTAGAGTAATTAAACGCTTAGGGTAAGTCTAAGTATCGTGAAATTCGAAATAAATTACCGAAGCGAGTCTTTTGGTAAAGTTAGGTATGCCTCGTGAAAACAGCAGTACTCCGAAGGATTGTGAGGCTGAGACATTGCCTATATATATTCCTCTCAGTATTGTTTTCGCCGAAGAGATTTTATTTAGTGTTTCGTTGACGCTCTATTAGAAACTATGTTACGTTCCGTTGGGGCGAATCCGAGAGACTCATAAAATACTATCTTTAGAAAAAAAAGAAGAAAAAAATACTCTTGATTTCCATAGTTATTGCATTAACCAATAACTTGCCACTTTTCAAGAATTACCGACTTAGCCTTCATCAGACTGGCACATCTGGTTGGCTGAACGGAGGCTAATCTAGGTAACGCTAATAGTCCCTAGAAACCTATATTAGGTTGAGCCATCTCGCTACCGAAGTATTCAGATATAAATAGATTTGGAAGGTTCAAAATGCTAATTTGTGGCCTGGATATTCAAGATTTGTTCATACATCAAAGCACAAAAGCTATCGACTATATCCAAAACCCTAAAAATCCTGTCCCCACAGTAGATGGATGGAAAAATAAAACCGATAAAATGTCATTCTGCCACTCTGAGTCTGTGTCTGACGGCGGAAACATGGCAGAAATGCAAGTGTCATGTCGTTAACTAAGTTAGTGTCAGGCTCTGTCTCTTATTTATGTACTGTCTCAGTCTCTTACTCTCGTCTCACAGTCTCTCAGAGTATCTGCCAAAGGACACACAATTTCATAAGTCATAAACTCATAAACCGGCACAAAGTATTTGTATGACCTTTGGCCTCCCCCAGGCCTAACCTCATATCGTTAAATATAAGTTGCAACGCAAATAAATGATCCGTAAACGTTGGAAATCAAACGTATACTTCCATTGCAGGTCCCGTTTATAGTAGTAAGCATATTCGAGGTAAGGCAATAGGCATATACACACCAGAATTTTGTTCTGACGACACATTCTAATATGAAAAGGTGTGCTATTCAGGCCACTATATACAGGTCAAAATATACCAAAATTCGTTGCAACGCTAAAAAAATTTCTTTGAACGTTGAAAAATCAGCTTTTACATATATGACGCCAAACGTTAAGAGGTTAGCCCCCAGCGGGCCCAGCCCCAGGCCGTACTACTAGCACAGATTCCCGATCCTGATATTTTTTCTGCATTTAATACTGCTTTGCTGGAGTCTTTAAAAATATGACTACACATATTTTAATTTCAAAAAAAAAGGATGAGATTTAAAAAATAGATAGAATTTTGCGACCTGCGTCAGCGTTCAGTCTGTGACAGTCAGAGGGACGTTGTATTTTACATCTAAGTTTTAACATTAGGTGATGTATTCTTGTACTTTAATGAATTACTATTGGTTAGTAAATGCCATAGATTACGTAAACGATAGAATAATTAAAAAACCATTCACTGCTTTATTGTTTATTTGGAACTGACTGTTAAATTTAATAAACATTCTTCGAACAAGTTGGCACAACCGCCACAAACGGACAAACTCCTTTAAAAAATCACTAGTAGTCACTAGTCTTGTCTGTGATTTGTAAAAAAAATTGAATTTTGAATTTGATTTTTAATTACTATTTTTAGTATATATTTAAATACATACAATATTTTATATATATTTACATTTTATAATTCAGTCAGTCATCAATATTTTGGTTATTTATTTTAATAAAAATTTATTCAAATTTCAGAAAACATTTTGGATTTTTGGTGTCCGGGGAAATATATAGAATGATATTATTGGATAGACTGCTTGCGTGTAGCCGGTTTATTGTACTGATATGTTTGATACTCTACATATGGCTACGGTTTGAAATTTCGGATGCCGGGGAATTAAAAACAGTGAAGGAGACGTGTTCAATTTTATAAGTAGGTACGGTTCAGAATTTAAAGTAAAGCTGATTTTTATTGGTCGATATTATAATTCCAGCTTCGGGTTAAAAATATTACTGACACACGACGAGTCAACGACACATAAGAGTCAGAGACTGATGAGACACTAGAGAGTAGACAGAGCAGGCTATAGTCTCCTACTGTTAATAGGTATCAGAATATATTTACACTCTGATAATATTTATATTTATCCGGTGGCGGTTGGACTTGTAAACGCGAAAACGGGGAAATTTAAACGATAAAATAGTAAAAAATCTTAATAATTAAATATATGCAGCGGTTAACGGTAAATTTAATCCTTCACCGTAAGTCCTAACGGCTTCAAAACGCCGACAACCGACAGTCCGACACCAACTGACCAACCTGCCAGGCGCAGTGGAATACTTTTTGTTTGCTTTGACCAGCCCCGCACTATATCCACGGTATGACAGCTCGTCATTAGAGACATAAGTAGAGACAAACAGACATACACATTCTAGCGAATCTATCAACTGCTTTTAGGTTTGTAGGTGGTGGATACTGAACACCCACGCGTTCATGCACATTGACAGTCACATAGTTGCCAGCATGTCCCCAGAAACCAAGCGTGTGGCGTGCTATGTGTGCAGCAAAGACAGTGACCGCGCATGCCCCTGTGAGATGGGCCGCCGATATTGCTCGCGCGAGTGTCAGGTGTGTGTTGTGTGTCCAGTGTTGTATCGTGTGGATAAAAGGCTCAGTTTTCTGGCAGGTTTCCCCAGCTAGTCCCGGCGTGCAATGGACACGAAAATCGCTATTCGTATATTGCGTGATCTGTTATGTTACAGTATCACTCCGCGAATTTGTCTCAACCACATACACACTGCATTGTCGCCTTTTCTCTTACTCTTGCTCATTGCCTTAGCTTGGTATTTGGGTCGTCCCCTGGCTTACAAGCAGGTGACGTATAGTTGCATTCTCGTGTATTATCTACTACACAGCCCGTCGGTACCAATGGACCCCATTACTAATCGCTTATTACTAACATTTTACCTGACAACAAAACACACAGAAAGTTGATTGGCAAGAACGAGACCACAAGAGCGTGTGCAGTCAAACGGTGGGGGCAGCCAAAACACCTGAGAAAGACAGTGACAAGAAGGTAACGGCCGAGGGTGGCGACGCAGGTACGTCTGTGTATATCATTATCATACACACTGAAGTTGGTACCTACTATTGCTGTCATGCTGTATAATATGTTGTATTACCACACGCAGGTATCCATTCCTTGTTGTTCCAGTTGCAGATGGATTCATCAAAATCTCGCAAACCCAAGTTCAGAGTTGCTATTGAACAAACGCTTGGATAAATTAATCAAGTTCTATTATTATTATTGTACGTCCACACAGAGAAAGACAAGACTGATACTGACAAGATGGAGGACAGTAAGGATGATAGCAAGGATACTAGCAAGGATGAATGCAAGGATGATACCAAAGATGATGCCAAGGATGAAAGCAAGGATGATACGAGAGCCACTAAGAATGAAAACAGCAAAGGTATTGCTTATTGTCGTTAACGTGTACCGTGCGTGTAGCTCATATTTTATGTCTCGCTCCTTTGCTTGCAAATGTTTATTTATGTGATAGTTAAACTGTTTTATGTAGAGTCAAATTGTACCTATATCACATTGATATATATGATATAAGTAATAAAAATATTTTGTCTCAACACTATCGTGTTACACCACTACTTACGACTACTTATAGTATTGTACCAACCCCACGTGCCACAATATGCACGTGACTGCTTGTTGTTAGCATCCCAACACTTCCCAGCACTCCACTTGCAGCTCACAACGCCTAACTTTCGTGTGTAACTTTCGTGTGGCTCCACTCTGCTAACTGGTCACGTACCATCATCTCAAGATTGCAACTGTATTTGCCTAACTATGTGGTGACTGAAACACACCCTCACAGATGCCAAGGACACCACCTCCGACGACAAAACCACCGAGACGACAGCCAGCTCAGCTACTGCAGTGACGCCCTCTGAGGCGAGTAAGGAGACCTCTGGTACACCCAACCGCCCACCCAACCCAGCAAAGTCGCCTGCTGGTACCAGAGCCGAATCACCTACTTCAGATACGGATACGACCAAACCTCACCCATCTGCGGACAGCGAGAAGGACAAGGCCAGTGCAGAAACACGCAACGACGCAGACGCAGACGCTGATGGAGAGAGAGTGGGAGAGGGGAATAAGAAGCAAGCTACGGCTGAGAAGGATAACGCTAAGAGGGTCTCTGGCCAGGACAGTGCTAATAGTGGTGTGACAACTACAGGTGCAACTGCAAAGCCGGTGAAGGAGAGCTCAACAGATAGGAAGGCGGTTGAGGCCAGCACAGCAACGTCCGAGAGCGACAAGGACACGAAATCGAAATCATCAGACACCCCCGAAGAAAGCGGCGGCAATGTTAAGGCTAAAGCTAAGGCAAGCGCTAAGGAGCCCAGCACCAGCAAAGACGAGACGAAGGTAGGTAAGACACAGAAGGAACGCAACAACACAGACGATACAAACAAAAGGGGCGAGAAGGCAGCGGTGGCTGAGAGGAAGCCACGCAAGGGCGCAGACACGCGCCAGAAAACAAGCAAGGCCACTGCAGGCGGCAAAGGAGACACCGGAGGTGCAGCTGAGGCACCGAAGACTGGTACCAAACGCACGCTACACGCAAGCACTAATATGGAGAAGGCCCAGAGCGAGCCTCGCACGGCAACTGCCGACTCGCCCCCACCAGCACGCTTCTCACCTCCTGCGGCCAAGGTTGACACGGAGACAGGTAGGTATATTAGGCATTGTACTCGCTATGCGGCTATCGTGAAGCTATGTCAAACATTGTCTTACCCTTTGGTATAAGTTATATATATATACATATACATATACATATACATATACCTTAACATATATATATATATATACTATATATATATATATATATATATATATATATATATATATATATATATATATATATATATATATATATATATATATATATATATATATATATATATATATATATATATATACATATATATATATATCCATTTTATTCTTTGTATCCATCGCAGTCGCTTGCTTAGATATGCGATGCAGGGGTCGGTGTAGATAGATCCTATCGTGTGCTCCGATGCTATGTAGGTATTGATACATTTTATTGTACAAACACCAGTTAGTGGTCACTGTGCTGTTGCTAATTGATATCCTTCATCTGTGTGTTGCATCTGCGCGTGCAGCACCAAATACGAAAGCAAAGAACGGTGCAAACGGCACACGAGATAAAGACTATGCCAAAGGGGGCGAGCGTGTATTCAGCATCAAGCCAAGCAGCAAGGCAAATGCCAAACCAAAAGCAGCCACCGCCGCACCCCCACCCATTGTGAAGGACGCACGTGCCACTAAAAACAACGCAGAGGTGCGTGCACAGGCCAATGAGAAGATGCTGCTGGACGGGAAGCGGAGGAGGCGACGGTTTGAGGAGCTCGAGAGGAATTACATCTGCGAGTTTCCGAATTGTGGGCGCCCGTATGCCTCGGAACACTCCCTAAACCAGGTATGTATGGCGCTGCTTCTTGTCCGGTCGTATTTTTTATAAAGTGATTTGATGAGCAATATAGTTGGGTTTGATAGGGGTCTTGTGTTAGGCTCAGTTGGGATTGGTAGGAGTCTTGTGTTAGGCTCAGTTGGGATTGGTAGGAGTCTTGTGTTGGGTTCAGTTGGGATTGATAGGGGCCTTGTGTTGGGTTCAGTTGGGATTGGTAGGGGTCTTGTGTTGGGTTCAGTTGGGATTGGTACGGGTCGTGTGTTGGGCTCAGTTGGGATTGGTAGGGGTCTTGTGTTGGGCTCAGTTGGGATTGGTACGGGTCTTGTGTTGGGTTCAGTTTGGATTGGTACGGGTCGTGTGCTGGGTTCAGTTGGGATTGGTAGGGGTCGTATGTTGGGATCTCACTTCCAAGTGTTCACGTAGGAGGAGGGGGTTGCTGGTTGTCGTCGTGAGTAGCTTTTTGTACTTCTGCGGGACTAGCTCGTGCGTTGGGGTGAATAACGGATATGGTATACAACACTCAAGTATCTGGTTAGGCTAGATATTGAACTTCCGTCACTCAAATCCCTATACTCTACAAAACCCTACAAATCCCACAGCATGTGCGGCTCAAACACGCCGTTCGCAGTCCCGACAGACGGCGCAGAGGATTCGTTTCGAGCAAAGGTATTCCACCAGTGGCTATGAAGGGTCATGGGAGCACCTCAGGTACTTGTCTTGACGATCGTTGTGTACGCTTGTAGTTGTTTGCCTTGATAGTTTCCAGTTAAGATATTCCACCAGTGTTTATGAAGGGTCTTTGTAGATGATTGTTGAGTACGTTTGTAGTTGTTTGTCCAAATGCACTGGCAGAGATACACGTCGTCCATAAAGATTCTGTGTTTCTCCTATTCCCCAGCTGTCTGTCTACTGTCAGTGTAGCGTAACTCCAACTTCTCGACATGTGCTCACCATACCTACTTGCCCCTGTATCTTCCCCCACAGGTCGGGTTATAGGCAGGGCCCCTATGGGCCGTCCCTTATCCAGGCATGTGTCACACCAACCCACCTCTAGCTCTGGCCCTATGCTGGAAGACCCTCGCTCCATGAGACGACACGATAGCCGGCCTTATGGCGGCCCATCCCATATTGGACCACCCCCGCCCGAGTTCATAGTCACCAGCGGCGACGGAGAGCAGCAGGTGGTGTCTAAGGAGCACGCCAACAAGGGCAGCGACAAGGACACGGCGGGAGAGGCGCATGCAGGCGCCAACAGCCATGGCAAACGGCCCTTGGAGAATGGCGCATTGCCTGTGGTTGCCAAGGATACAGGGTCGCCTGTGCAGAAACCCAAGCTGTCGGTCGACCAGCAACAGTCGGGTGGCCTAAAAAAGGAAATCCCGTGGACGCGCGCGCAGGTGGAAGGGCCCGAGAGTGGCTCACCACCGCAACGGCACGAATCGCAGGGCGGTCCGCCTGTGGGCCTACGCACACGCAGTGTGCACTACGAACAAGACATTCCTGGAGGGGGGCCTAAAGATAGGCCTCCTTACGAACACGGCCCACCACCCCACGGGGGGTACTACGGCATGCCCCATGGGGCGGATAGAGGTGAATGGCCGCCAGGACCACCGGAGTACAATAGGTATCCAGGCTTACCCCCGGATGCGAGAGGCGATCCCAGATACGCACCTTCAGCCACCCGAGACAGTTGGGTGGAGGGCCAAGGCCCCCCTCCGCCGGGTGCAGGGCCGCCCGAACGAGACTACAGGCCCTATGGACCCCCCGATGGATATGCCAGGTATGGGGGCTTTCCTCCGGGATACTACCACGACCCCAGAGAGTACTATGGAGCCCCACGTGCACACAGTCCGTTTACGAGTGATGGTAGACCTGCGTATATGCATGGGGACTATCCTCCGCCGCCACGGTCAGGGTACGGGGGGTATGGTATGCCACCCTCATCCCACTCATCGCACGCACCTCATGGCGACGGGTACTGGGCCGATAGGCGGGGCTATGGCCCGCCTGCCCCGAGAGCAGAGCCCAGCAGTTATAGAGAGATGTAGCTTGCATGTGGTTGTGTAGTTGTAGCTATATGGAGATATAGCTTACACGTGGGTGTGTAGTTGTAGCTATATGGAGATGTAGCTTACACGTGGGTGTCTAGTTGTAGTTATAGGGAGATGTAGCGTGTATCTCTCTCTATGTGTGTTGTATGGCAATGTGCCATCAAGTAGTTGTTAGGGACATGCGACAGTGCGTGTTGGTCTGTGGATATACGAGTGGCGTCTGTTTGGCCATGTACGCTACAAAAATGATCATATACAACAAGTGTGTGATATGCAGCTGAATTGGCTGTGTATATGTCGCATTATATGCCGCACGCATCTCAAAGCATTGTAGCTTAGCTTTACAGGCTCATCACACGCATGGATAGATTGTGCATTCCATGTATGTACCGAGTAAGCTCAAGTGCTCGAAGCCCGCCGAATAACTAGAATTATATTTATATGTGCACTACACTGCACAAAGCTCCGCTATTCAAAATACTGAGACCCAGCCACGGGACACGAGCAAACCGTTTTATTAGTACAATGGCCTACACATAAAACATACATAGGTCAGATTATTAATTACCCCTTCTTAACACTACAAAGAGCACTACAAAGAGTATAGAATACTTCTTTTTAACGAAAAATACAAGTCTAACAACGCTGCGCCAGCTAAGTAATTTGGCATCAACAAACTGAATAAATCTCAAATGAGTGAAAGTTATCAGGCTACCACATGGTACAGGTATAAATTCCGCTTGGAGTGTTTGCGTGCACAAAACTATTTACCATAGAACTATATCATCCAATCAGAGATTGTGTGATAAAGTTCAATTTAGTCGGCTGCACGCAGGAGGAAAAATGAGATTGTTTTCTATACGAATAATGTTGTTTCCTATACAAAGACCCAATTTATGAAGGAAACTCGATGATCTGGTTAGAATGTCATGCTTGGTCGCCTCCTGTTGCAGTGGTACACTACCAGCTGATGCCGCAGCCAAGTATCTGTGGAGCGTTCTTCGCATTGCACCCGCAAACGCTCAATCAACAACAACAATCTGAAGGTAATCATATGTTGAACCCTGGCGTCCCACAGCACTACCATCAACAACCTCAAGTTATAACCCATGTTGAAGCTTAGCATCCCACAGCACTACCATCAACAACCTCAAGTTATATCCCATGTTGAAGCTTAGCATCCTACAGCACTACCATCAACAACCTCAAGTTATATCCCATGTTGAAGCTTAGCATCCCACAGCACTACCATCAACAACCTCAAACTAAATCCCATGTTGAAGCTTAGCATCCCACAGCACTACCATCAACAATCTCAAGTTATATCCCATGTTGAGGCTAGCATTCCACAGCACTACCATCAACAACCTCAAGTTATATCCCATGTTGAAGCTTAGCATCCTACAGCACTACCATCAACAACCTCAAGCTATATCCCATGTTGAAGCTTAGCATCCCACAGCACTACCATCAACAACCTCAAGTTATATCCCATGTTAGCATCCCACAGCACTTACATCAACAACATCAAGTTATATCCCATGTTGAAACTTAGCATCCCACATCACTACCATCAACAACCTCAAGTTATATCCCATTTTGAAGCTTAGCATTCCACAGCACTACCATCAACAACCTCAAGTTATATCCCAGGTTGAAGCTTAGCATCCCACAGCACTAACATCAACAACCTCAAGTTGTATCCCATGTTGAAGCTTAGCATCCCACAGCTCTACCATCGACAACCTCAAGTTACATCCCATGTTGAAGCTTAGCATCCCACAGCACTACCATCAACAACCTCAAGTTATATCCCATTAGCATCCCACAGCACTTACATCAACAACCTCAAGTTATATCCCATATTGAAGTTTAGCATCCCACAGCACTACCATCAACAACCTCAAGTTATATCCCATGTTGAAGCTTAGCATCCCTCAGCACTTCCATCAACAACCTTAAGTTACAATATCGTGCACCTCATTGGTCTTCATCCAGGGCAGAGTGAAGGGGGGGGGTTGTAGCCACTTGTCCTGCACCTCATTCGGTTCCTCACTCCAGGAGCACGTAGGTGGTAAGGGGGGGGGGGTTATAGCGACTGGTCGTCGGCTACCTT